GGTTTATCTGCTGGTCTAATTTTCTTTACTGGAAAGATAGGTGTCTGCACTGGTGAGTCCTCACATGGGACAATAATCCCAGCCTCAAGAAATGATTCAAAAACTGGTGTAATTCCCTCTATGGCCTCCTGTCTCAAAGGATACTGACGCTGCCTTGGTCTGTAATCAGATTTAGCTTCAATACGAACAGGTGGACAGTTTTTGATCAAACCAACATCATGTTTACTTTTTGCCCACAGACTGTCCGGTACTTGTGATAACAAAGGTGAAATCTCAAGCGGAGAAGTCAAAGAAGTCAGAGTCAAATTTGGTCCGTCATTGTCATCATATGAAGACGTCAAAAGCACTGAATGTAGCACATCAACTGTCTTCGTATGAGACATTTTATACGCGCAAACGGATTGTGAATAAAACACATTTTCTCCACGGTCACACGCCTGCCAATCCTCCGCCAAAGTACATCTGTGTACAAAAAACCCTAAGGTTTGCCATGCGTCAGCTTTTGCTTTTGCAATTGAAATATGAGGACCTGAATTTTCAAGACGATAGCATTGTTTTTGTGACTGGCTTAACTCTACTGAAACAGCACACTTGGAATCATCAAAGTACACGTCAGCAAGAATTAAGCAGCCATTTGAGCCCAGTTTAAACGTTTCTTCAAATTCACAATCAGGGCCATGGTGTAAATGACACACACAATGCAGGTCCTCAGCTTTCAATATATCAGATTTTGGATTAAGAAATGGAGATGTAGTCTCCATCAAATGACTGGCGCTGGCGGTATGAAACCACCACTGATATACAGACATAGGACAGTTTGTGTTTACTTTGACAAAATTAGTCGCGCACGCACCTCTGTCTATTTTAAGGCCTTCTGCTGTCGATGTGATCACAACTTCCCATTTTATCATTAAATCACGGCCTAATAAGTTTACAGGACAAAGGTCAGACATCAAAAATGAATGTTTTGCTGTTGCTGGGTTACGCTCGTTTGCCCAAGTGCATTTGATCGGAACAGAGAAAGATTCCGGTACCGTTTGTCCACTGGCACTCGTGGAAAAGACACTTCTACCACTTAATTTGATTGAGAGCTCCTTTGTCTGAATCACACTGTGGGTCGCACCAGAGTCTACTAAAAAAGTGATCGGTTTACCCTCAATTTCACAAACAATACTTGGCATTTTCCTGTAAGCTTCATTTTCATAAGCCAAGTAGGTCCCTGTGTTGGGCCTGTCACCGTCCTCTAACTCCCTAATTCTATCCTCAATTAAGCCAAGCAGTGAATCAGTGGCAAGCGCGTCTTCATTGCAGTTAGCAGTTAGTGTGTTGTGTGTAAGGGTGTGTGCATTACTCATCTGTACAGGTGCTGTGTCAGATCCCACGTCAACAAGACATCAATCTGAAGAAAATCTCTGCTGGTCCTCCGGTCTCGCACCCCGTCCACGTCCACTCCAGCGTCCCGCATCTCGGCGTGGCTGGGGACAGTCACGATTCCAATGTCCAATTTCACCACAGTTGAAACATTTGTCTTGGTCGTCGTGGTCACGATTGTTCTCGAAATGTCCGTTGTCACGATTGTTCTCGAAATGTCCGTTGCCACCTCTTCTCCGTCCTCTACCTCCACGACCTCCACGGCGGAACTGTCTGCCTGTCATTTTGATCAATGTGAGATTGGCTTGATGTTGGGCCTTCTCCTGCGCGCCAGCTTTCACAGCGTTCTCCTCAGTGTTCTTTATTTCAGCATGCTTTGCGTGTCTGAGGATTTCTTGGATGCGATTGTCCTGCCAGCCCCCGACCAAAGTCTGTTTCAGTGCGGCTTGGATCGGTTGGGGAAGGCCCTCGCAGAACGCCATCTTAAAGATCACCTCGAATGTGGTCTCAGCTGCGGCAGTGTAATTCTCTGGCTTTTGACTACCAGAGTGGGCAACGCACACATCCTCAAGACGATGATAAAAGTCCACAACTGACTCACTTGTCTTTTGAGAGCAGTCTTTAATCTTTCCCATATCAAATTTCACTGGGAACGCACGCTTGAGAGCTGCCACTATGTTGGCAATATATGTTTCCCATGCATTCGCCTCCGTCCACTCCGCTTGCAGAGCCCTCAGAGTCTCATAATTCTGTCGATGGACCGCTGGCTCTATCTTGGCGAAGCCCTCCGGTTTTAAATACAGGAGGAGAAGCTTTTTTACTTCAGCGCCCGTAGGACGCCATGCTTTGCAGAAGGCCAGAAATGCGTCTGCCATTGAATCACCTCCGCGGTGAGGAGAAGGCCAGTCTTTGACAGATTCTTTCATCTCCTGATCCATTTGACGCAGAACCAGAACGGGGGTTCCCTCTGGGCCAGGATATTCGATCATAGGTGCTTGTAAAGTCTTTCCATCTCTCAGCGTCATGCCATTGTCATTTAAAGTGATTTTGTCCATATCGTGAGTCAAACTTTGAATTTCAGCAGGAGCAGTGTGTCTGTGTGCTGCTCCAGACAGGAGGGGAGGGGCTGATGCAGAAGCCTCCGGAGCGGGTGAAAAGAGGGGGGCCGTCGCTGCTGCTGCTGCTGGTGCCGCTGGTCCGGCTTGATACCGGGGCGGGGGGGGTGAGAGAGCGGGGTACAGCGGGGTCCAATCATCTCTGGAGTTCCTACGGTCGTGTTGACGTGGGACTGGTGGTGTGCTCGAAAAAAAAGCAGATGGAGAAGTATCAGTCGCAGATCCTATACATTGTTTCTGTCTACTTTCCCTAAGCTTTGCCTCAGTCATCCACGCATTCAGCCACCGTCTGTTCTCATCCAGACAATTCAAATCTTTCACACGTACAGACCTGCCTTTTTTTAACACAGTTTCTCGAGCATCCAATTGCGATTTAATCTTTTCCAATTGGTTCAAGCTGAAGGAGCCATTTTTGGGAAAACCTAATTCAGCCACCCACATTTCAGTGCATGCCCTAAAATCATCACCATGTTTCTTAGTCATAAAAGTCATGCATGGGGCGTCCCAAACTGGTGACTCTGTGCTTTTTCTTCTAAGCCACATGGCTGGAATCTGGGACTCTAACTCAGATATACAAACAGAGACTCGAACTCTGCCCTTATCAGCAATCAGGACTTGAACCTTTGCACAAAACAGGACTTTAACCTGTTCTCACAACGGAGGGACTTGAACCCCCCGGGCTAAGACTCTAACTTAGACCTTATGACAGGACTCTAACCTGTCGACACAGTACAACGAAGGGACTCGAACCCCCGACTAAGATTGAACTTAGATTTTAAACAGGACTCTAACCTGTGTCACCACTGAAGACTCTAACTTCAGCCTAAGACTCTAACTTAGGATTTAGACAGGACTCTAACCTGTGTTTCAACTGAAGACTCGAACTTCAGCCTAAGACTCTAACTTAGGATTTATTTCCAACAGCCTGGATTAGAATGCACAGCTCCGTCACCAGATTGCCCTCCCTCATGCACGCACACTGCACAAGCGTCTCTCGGATTCACCACAGAAGCATAGAAAGTCAAATATTAAACAAGTTACCGTTTGTTTCGCGTGAAAATCCCGAGAGGCGACGGTTGAAACTCAGCACGTCCGGTCAGTCCGCCCGTCCAGAGATATGGGAAAGCGACGAGATTGATTTTGAATCTCGGGTGATCAGTCCCCCGAGCCGGACCCGTGTGTTCCAACGGTCTGCCTTCGGAACCACTTCTGACACCAAAATTGTTCTGGAAATTCTAATGCTTCAAATGAATAAATCCGAGGAAACAGGACTTGTCTTTGTGCAGTTTATTTACAGAAGTGATGAGTACAAAAATGACATTTCTGCGCAGAAGGAGTCAAACAGAAACGAGATCTGAAGTGATGTCGTGTCTGTCTCTCTCCCCTCAACAGTGCGATTGATGATCTTATACTGGAGGTGTGTCAGACAGAACAATGAGCATTCGTCACAAGAGATGAGTCATACACAGCTGCAGACAAGAAAGTTTCTGAGAGATACATTAGGCGCAGGAAAAGGACCTTGACGAGCAGGGAGAGAGCAAAGGGACGATACATTAAGCGCACCAAGGACCTGAGAGAGTGGAGGGAGACGCGGAAGAAACAGATAATAAAGGACATAGCGTGAGCCCATGTAGATTAGCGCACCTGCAAGGCCATGAAGTACAGGAGAGCCTTTGTGTTAATGTTTCAAACAGTGATGGGAAGCAGTTTCCAACGATGGGAACGAAGACACATGTATCGACTAAAGATTAGATTTGAGCGGTGCCTGTAACTGACCATAACATCCTCGATCCAGAATCAGACCCTAAATATTAAGTTTACAGAAGAGTACTGCGAGTTAGTAGCACTGTACATACAGATCTACGCTCTTTGTTAGCGTATTTTATTGCGGTAATAATCCCACGTTTCAAGGACAGCTTTTGAGTGAGTCCAGTTTCAAGGCAGCTAGTTCTGGAACAGCATTTAATGAAGTGTCACTCACAGAAACACAGATATACGTCGTAGATTAAAGAGGCCGACCCCCAGTGATTAGAAAGTCCAGCTACATTCACCGCATTCGTCGTCTTTGGGCCAAATGGCGTCGACACATTTACACCAAAAACAAATTTTCTCCAAGTTGATTTGATGCTAACACTTTTAGTCAACGACAACAGCAGAAGAAAAACGCAGAAGAACTCGATGTGGTAGATTTAGGAACCATACACTGGACTCTGAAGAGGCTTTACGCACCGATTGGCTGCTTTGATTTCTCCTCCGGTCAATCACCTCCTGGAGGCGGGGCTTATCTCACTCAATTTGAACAGAAGCGTTTTGCTTCCTCTCGAGAATAAAAGAAAAAGATCGCTCTCTAACGAAAGCTTGAGGGAATCTGAAAAACGACTTTGGGCATGTGTATGAAGCCAAATAGCAATGTATTGATAAAAAAAAAAATACATTTTATGGGACCTTTAAAAGAAAAACAAATCTTGCCAATACGTTTTTTCATGTAGTATATTTATTATTATGTTTTGCTGCTCACAGTTTGGGCTCATGAGACAGAATGGCGTTGTAGCGTAGCAGCTGTAGATCCACTGGGGGGCAGCGTGGAGGCGGCGGCGGGGGCCGGTCCACGTCCACATGGCGACCGCTGCTGCCCATGGTGCTGTGGTGGTGATTGTTGTTGTTGTTGTTTGGGTCCGAGTCCGGGACCAGGAAGTGTCCGCGGCGATGACGATGGTAAAACAGACCAATCAGGACGAGCAGAGACATGACCAGAGCGCTGAGCAGGAAGAAGAGGACGAACACGGCTTTGGCTTCGGACGAAAGCGGAGCCGGGCAGTCTGAAGGACAAAGGACACGCCATTTGCAATACTGAACTACACACAAGTAAGTAGTAAGTAAGTTTTTATTTATATACCGCCTTTTCACTGCAGATCTGAGTCTCAAAGCGGTTTACAATTGTTAATTATGGGCATTTGTCTCTCACTCCACACAGAGATGGGAGCGGGGCCAGTACAGGAGGCGCATGCCAGAACTATTGTACATATTTTTAGTGGTAGGGGAAACCGGAGTACCCGGAGGAAACCTACGCAGACACGGGGAGAACATGCAAACTCCACTCAGAAAGGCCCTGGTCCGACCGGGATTCGAACCCAGGACCTTCTTGCTGAGAGGCGAGAGTGCTATCCACTCAGCCACCGTGCCGCCCGGAGTCCAACTCATTCATTTCAATGGGAAGGTCAACAGACACTGAAGCCTCTCTCAGTTCTTCCTTCATGTATACAGATTTAGCTTCAGTATCGACCCACAATTATCTCCTACAGCCTCATCTCACCTCATGTAAAAGTCCAAATCAAACTCAGATTATTTGCAGTAAAACCAAAAATGGAATACACGTGCAAAAGTACCAGCGTGCACCAGAATCCAGAATAAAGAGACAGACAAGGAACGTGGGGGGGGGAAATAACGGCACAACTAACTAGATCGACTTAGAGGGCAACCCAGGACTACGTTACCAATGCTTAGTGAAACACGTTGAAATGTGCTATACTGTATAAATAAAAGGTCTTCTCCCTGAACTTCTAAGTCCCTGGTATGGTTCAAGTCCAAGTCTTAATTAGCCATGCATACGACTCATTTATGTTTTAGTATTCACTGATTTTGACTAAATGTTTCATATGTATTTGCAAGATTTTTATTATTATTATTATTTTTTGTCTGTTTTTAATTGGCATCACTGGGAGATTAGTGTCTTGCTGAGGGACACAACACCTCCTGCTTGTCGAATGCATCTGTTGAAACTGCCCTGTGAGCACGTATACATTGATATATTTACCAGGTGTGGTGTTGTCCCCCACACAGAGGGTCCCGGTCCCGGTTCTGGACTGGTCGTGGAAGCCCCCGCGGCACACGCAGGTGTAGGAGCCAAAGTGGTTCACACAGTCTGCGTTAGGGTCGCACACCGTCAACTGAGAGTCGCATTCATTCACATCTGCAACAGGAGGGAAACCATTGTAAAGCTAACAACCACCAGCATGCTAACAACCACCAGCAGGCTAACAACAACAAGCATATATCAAATTTATATAAATATATTTATTTTAGATTATTTATATTAATGTATATTTTGGGGCGGCATGGTGGCGCAATGGTTAGCCCTGGGTTTGATTCCATTCTTTCTGTGTGGAGTTTGCATGTTCTCCCTGTGCCTGCAGGTTTCCTCTGGATGTTGCAGTTACACCTACCACTAAAAACATGTACAATAGGTTGGCGATCTTGCTTCCATCTCTGTGTGCTTTGTGACTCTGGTCTGTGAAAGGCGCTGTATAAATAAAGCTAACTTATGTTTTTGTATTAGATTCAGAGTTAGAGCAAGAGATCTTAAGACTTCTTTTAATAACGTCTCTCAGCGATGGAAGCAGAGGATGCAGAGAAAATCCTTATGTAAAGAGAGTGCACCTGCAGTGGACAGAGACAGGACCACAGAGTCCTCCGGGCCTGGTCTGAACCCGATTAGCCGCAGGAGCGAGGAGTGGACCAGTTCATGGACGTGACGCCCGGAACTCATCTGCCCAATCTGGAGCCACAGGATGAAGAGCACCCCAGAGTTCAACCTGCAACACACAGACACACACACAGATACACACACAGATACACACCCACACTGCAATGATCAGAGAGAAGCAGAGACAGAGTGCGAGAGAGACTGCAAGAGAGAGACTGCAAGAGAGAGACTGCAAGAGAGAGACTGCAAGAGAGAGACTGCAAGAGAGAGAGACTGCAAGAGAGAGAGACTGCGAGAGAGAGAGACTGCGAGAGCGAGACTGTGAGACCGACCATAGAGAGACCAGTCAGAGAGACTGTGAGCGAGACCATAGAGAGACCAGTTAGAGAGAGAGACCATGAGCGAGACCATAGAGAGACCAGTTAGAGACCATCGAGAGACTATCTAGAGACCAGTTGGATAGAGACTGTGAGAGAGACCATCAAGAGACCAGTTGGATAGAGTCTTGTGAGAAAAGCCATAGAGACCGTGAGAAAGACCATAGAGAGACCAGTTAGAGAGACCATAGAGAGACCAGTTAGAGAGACCATAGAGAGACTGTGAGAGACACCATAGAGAGACCAGTTAGAGAGACCGTGAGAGAGACCATAGAGAGACCAGTTAGAGAGACCGTGAGAGAGACCATAGAGAGACCGTGAGAGAGACCATAGAGAGACCAGTTAGAGAGACCGTGAGAGAGACCGTGAGAGAGACCGTGAGAGAGACCATAGAGAGACCAGCAACCGAGACAGACACAGAGGGTGTCTCACCGTTTGATGCGTTTGGAGGAGATGGTCTGTGACACGATGGAGGGCTTCAGCTGGTTAATGAGCTGGAGGAAATATAGGTTTTATTTCTAGTTTACATTCAAAGCTCACATTTACTGTATTCAAAAAGTCAGATTGAGAGAAATAAAAATGTAAATAGCAGATTTTCAGATGTGGCACTAATACACTGGGGTGACACATTCTACGAAGCATCAGTAATGGCTTTAGTCAGATAACAACGGCCGTGACTAGAGGGACCTTTAAAGTCCTAGTGAGTCCATAGATTGAGCTAATTTTACTTTCGTCCTTGACTCGTGTGTGTGTTTCAGGTATTTAACAGCATTTCGTCCCAAAAAAATTGAAAGATGTCTTGAACACAGCAAGTTAAAATGTATGATAAAACATGTTTTCTTTTGCATGGGAGTCACTTTCATGTTTTGGGCTGAGAGTATAAACATGTGACAGAGGCCAAAACTACATAAATGTGAAAAACTAGTGAGCCCTTGTTACTTTCAAGTTAAATTCATATTTTTTTTGGCTTTTTCTGAAGATGAAAATGTTATATTTAGTGTGAATTACGACTACTGATTTGAATGACCGCTTCTCCTGTTTTAACTTATGAGAAATTGTGGTGTTTGTCTCCCTCTGCTGGCGGGTGGTGACAGTGCAAATCACAGATAAATTAACAGCATTGTGACGCAAAAGTGACGCTAACAAATATGAAATGATGGGAACTTACAGGTTGCGACCATTTACTATTGCGTGCATCTTTTTAATTTGCATTTACATTTTGATAATTGTTATGATTTGTAGATTTCTTGTCATTTTATCTGTGTGTGACTTTTTAAATGAGTTATTTTTTCGATCCTTTTTGTAAAGCTGAAGGAAGCAGGAAGCCTAGTCGTTACTTCAATTATGACTATATTCTGATTGAAATACTTGGCGTTTACCATATTCTTGACGGAGAGCAGCAGAGTCTGGGCGACCTCGTTCCAGGGCTCAGCGTTTCGAGAGACGTTCACTTCCACAGACACTTCAAAAAGCAAATCTGCGACAAACAGATATTATTACAACCGATGATAACACAATTTTACTCCATGCTTAAGACGCATATTTTCTCTTTGGCTTTTAATACTAGGGAGAAATACAAGTTTTTGTTTTTTATGTGTGTATTAGGGCTGCACGATATTGGAAATTAGAGCGATATTCGATATGAGTTAAGTATTGCGATAACGATATTAATGCGATATTTTTGTATGTCACCTAAAATTGCAATTGGCATTGAAACGCAAGAGACAAATAACAAAGGACAACATTAATGGCATTCAAATGCATATGTATATTTTATACTTTTTAATTCTTCTTGAATGTTGATGTCTGTTTTGTTGTCTTTTTATTTTCTTGGATATTGCACACACCAATATCACGATAACAATATTTTTTCGATATATCGTGCAGCCCTTGTGTGTATAAATATTTCCGTATTTTTGCGTTTTTATTGTGCAGATTTTTTACCGTCTGTACAGCATTTTGGGTAAGGTTTGGCTGTTTTGAACGTATGGAATAAAAAATATCACATGATCATAACAGATACATGATCTTTAGTTTGGGAAATGGCTTCGCTGTTTTTCTCATAATTCCATTGGATTTGAATGAGTCCTAGTGTGAAAAGTAAAGACCACAGCCTCCATCAAACTATCAAAGCTGCAGTGGAGAAATGGTGCAGAATTTTAATTTAGAAATCAGACGAAGTGAAAATTTTGAAAATGTTCTGCATAGTGCTGGGGAAAAATCGTTTCTGTTCAGTATCGCAATAATTTTGCACGCAATTCAAACGATACTGTAGAGCAAAGTATTGAGATATTTTATTAAATTCTGTTACACTGCATTATATGTCTTTTGTGACTCTAGTCAGTTGTATGTGAATGTCAATGCTGGGAGCTCATGTTAGAGTCGTCTATAAGAGAATAGTAATGTCTGTAATGAGGTCCTGCTCAAAAATCACTGAAGGAAAACTCAGACCTTCACTCTTCGTGGGAGGAACAGCTGGTGCATGAAGCACATTGTATTCTGGCTCAGCCCAAACATCCTCTGATCACTGACATCAGGACGTCGTAATACTCCAGCTCGGAAAACAAATTGATTTTACAGTACAATTCTTTTGTCCCCTCTTTGTTTTTTGTGCCATAAAACTGTTGAACTCTGGTGGAAGTGTTTGACTTTTGGGAGTAGTGTATAGTTTTTAACCGTATATTGTAACCTGCCGCTGCGTGAACTGTGAGGCCTAACCATGGATCTATTATAATAACTGGATAGGGTATTACTAGCATGTAGCTGAAGAACCATGTGCTCGGGGGATTCTCGCGGTACTGCAGACTGAACCCGACTAAATTACGTGGGCTATATCCAGAAATTTTCCCCATAGAACTCAATGTAAACTAAAACAGCGTGACCTCAGCTGACAGCGAACCTACAGCTTTAATAAAGATTGGATCGTGTGAAGATTTTAGTGTCCCTTGTCATCCTGAACTTTTTTTCTTCTTAAATCCTTCGGTTTTCTTTAAATCCACACTTTACTGCCACAAACTCTGCTCGTTTGACTCCCGCTCTGATTGGTCAAAGCGCGGCCGAGCCCCTCTGTGCACATGCATGAGAGCCACACATGTGTATTTGCCGCAGCGCATCATGGGAGATCATCCACTACGCAGAGGACCAGACAATAGTCATATGACGAGCACAAACCATTCATTTGAATAGGGCGCCATCTTGGATCGCCGGGGCTTGGGCCTGACTCTGTAGGGTCTGAGTATTCTGTTTGAGATTCTGCTGCAGATGACTTGCCCTCTGGGATCAATTAAGTTTTCGGAATCCATGTTCTGAATGTTCAATGATCACGTTTTCGCACTTCCCTCCTCGATGTTTGCTTCTGTTCATTCACAGATCATAATAAATGTGATACGAGTTGAGTCTTATATTCCTTCATGTTTGTTATGCTTTTGAATAATATGAGGGGAAATGAATCGCAATATATCACCGAATCGCAAAACTTTCTGCATCGTGATATGTTTAAAAATCGCGATAATATTGAATCGTGGCCCAAATATCCCGATACTTCCCAATCCACACATTTTTGCCAAATCCCAGCCCTAGTTCTGAATGTGAAGCAAATGTACTGACCTCCAGGGAGATGTGGACTTTGATGGTGGTATTTAATATGAGCTACAAGACACAAATAATCCAGTCAAGACGTATTATTCACTTTTATATCATCATAAACTCACATCTAGAGTCTGCTCTGGGGTCAAACTGTGGCTCGGTCTTTCCCAGGACCGGCTCTTCTGTGGCGGACGTCTGTCCTCCCTCCTCTGCTCTCTCCGGATCCATCTGGTCGAGAATCTCCTCCTCCAGCTCTTTCAGGATGCTGTCGTCTGATTGGTCGACAGCCTCTCTCTCCGATTGGTCCGTTGCGGTGTCCGTCTCTGCGTCTCGGCGAATGGCAGTGCCGACTCGGGGGCGGGACTCCTCTTTGAACTCTGGCAGCGGCTCCTCGGTGGACTGAAGGGCGATTTCTGCCCTTTCTAAATCTGTGGAGAGCGTTGCATCTCCCTGGAATTTTAAAATGCAATAATGATAATAAACTAATAATTTTAGAGAACAATGGTGAAACTTAATTACTATACACAAGTACGTACAGTGCCTTGCGAAAGTATTCGGCCCCCTTGAACCTTTCGCCACATTTCAGGCTTCAAACATAAAGATATAAAATTTTAATTTTTGTTCATGAAACAACAAGTGGGACACAATTGTGAAATGGAACGAAATTTATTGGATAATTTAAACTTTTTTAACAAATAAAAAACTGAAAAGTGGGGCGTGCAATATTATTCGGCCCCTTTACTTTCAGTGCAGCAAACTCACTCCAGAAGTTCAGTGAGGATCTTTGAATGATCCAATGTTGTCCTAAATGACTGATGATGATAAATAGAATGCACCTGTGTGTTATCAAGTCTCCGTCTAAATGCACCTGCTCTTTGATAGTCTCAGGGTTCTGTTTAAAGTGCAGAGAGAACCATGAAGACAAAGGAACACACCAGGCAGGTCCGAGATACTGTTGTGGAGAAGTTTAAAGCCGGATTTGGATACAAAAAGATTTCCCAAGCTTTAAACATCTCAAGGAGCACTGTGCAAGCAATTATATTGAAATGGAAGGAGTATCAGACCACTGCAAATCTACCAAGACCCGGCCGTCCCTCCAAACTTTCATCTCAAACAAGGAGAAGACTGATCAGAGATGCAGCCAAGAGGCCCATGATCACTCTGGATGAAGAATGGAAGAGTGGCAAGAAGAAAGCCATTTCTCAAAGATATCCATAAAAGTCTTGTTTAAAGTTTGCCACAAGCCACCTGGGAGACACACCAAACATGTGGAAGAAGGTGCTCTGGTCAGATGAAACCAAAATCGAACTTTTTGGCCACAATGCAAAACGATATGTTTGGCGTAAAAGCAACACAGCTCATCACCCTGAACACACCATCCCCACTGTCAAACATGGTGGTGGCAACATCATGGTTTGGGCCTGCTTTTCTTCAGCAGGGACAGGGAAGATGGCTAAAATTGTTGGGAAGATGGATGGAGCCAAATACAGGACCATTCTGGAAGAAAACCTGTTGGAGTCTGCAAAAGACCTGAGATTGGGACGGAGATTTATCTTCCAACAGGACAATGATCCAAAACATAAAGCCAAATCTACAATGGAATGGTTCACAAATAGACGTATCCAGGTGTTAGAATGGCCAAGTCAAAGTCCAGACCTGAATCCAATCGAGAATGTGTGGAAAGAGCTGAAGACTGCTGTTCACAAACGCTCTCCATCCAACCTCACTGAGCTCAAGCTGTTTTGCAAGGAAGAATGGGCAAGAATTCCAGTCTCTCAATGTGAAAAACTGATAGAGACATACCCCAAGCGACTTGCAGCTGTAATTGCAGCAAAAGGTGGCGCTACAAAGTATTAGTGCAAGGGGGCCGAATAATATTGCACGCCCCACTTTTCAGTTTATTTGTTAAAAAAGTTTAAATTATCCAATACATTTCGTTCCACTTCACGATTGTGTCCTACTTGTTGTTGATTCTGGACATTTTTTTTTTATATCTTTATGTTTAAAGCCTGAAATGTGGCGAAATGTTGAAAGGTTCAAGGGGGCCAAATACTTTCGCAAGGCACTGTATGTGTATACTTTCCAAGCGTGACCTTATATAAACACAACTTTTCCTGATACCTTGAAGACAAAACCAGATCTTAAAGCTGGGGTACTCAACTCTACTTGTCATAAATATTTAAAGAAAGCTATGGGTCTTTATTAACATTTAGGCAGTCAAAACGTGTTCAAATTAAGATAGATTTGGCTAATTTTGAGCTACTTTTTACATCACTTATTTGCATTGAATTTAACACATTGTTTGAAAGTTAAGTACCTCAGCTTTAATTCCTCAAAAACAGCTCGACTCACCATGTCCATCTCATCTTCACTCGTCCCCTCTTCCGTCTGAGAGTCCGTTGCCTCAGTTTCTCTGGAATTGTCTTTGGTCTGAGTGGGTTCTGGGGGTGGACTGTCCGGCTCTGGTGGGGGTCCAAACGCCTGGTACTGAGCGTGGAAGCCCCTGTAGGGTGGAGTGGGAGACCCCTCGATGAGCAGCACCACATGCACCGTGTTGGAAGTGGAGGTGTAGGAGGCTTCTCTCCAACACTTCTGCAGGAGGCTGTGCTTTTGACCTGAACCAGAGCAGAGAAGAGAAGCAGGAAGATGGGGGGAAAGAGGAGAGGGTTCAGGGTCAGTGGGTTTCTGTCCATGTTCCTCATTGGTCAGAGAGATATTACTTTATAGAGCAGGGGAGCCCGAAGAGAGACACTTTAGTTCACCAGAATTGTCTAGAGACCAGAGAGAGACTAGATCAGACCGAAGAGAGAGCGAGAGACCAGACCAGATCAGACGAGAGAAAGAGTAAGAAAGAGAGAGCGCGAGAGAGAGAGAGAGAGAGAGCAAGTGAGAGACCATGAAAAGAAGGGAGGTCAGAGAAAGAGACCAGAGAGACCAGGGAAGGATCAGAACCATGAGACAGACCGGAGAGAGAGAGACCAGAGAGAGAAGAGAGGTCAGAGGAAGAGACCAGAGAGACCAGGGAAGGATCAGAACCATGAGAGAGACCAGAGAGAGAAAAGACCAAAGATCAGGCCCAAAAAAATAATAATTGTGTACCCCCTAAGGCGCCTGCGAATTTACAAAGTTCTTGATTCCTCAACAGCCTCATTTTTAAACCCTTAAACCCTTCAATCTACACAGGAATCAAAAATGAGTCAAAAATGAAATCAAAATAAACAGGTGGAAGTTTTTGGCTGGTCAAGTACTTAATGCATGCTTATTAGTCAAAATAAATATAAAAAAAAGAGACTTCAGTAAAAGCTATTGTTCGTTTACAAAGCTGGTCTTGACATTTGTTGACGCTCCCCAAGCGCTTTTCTCTGCACTTGCAGCGATTGATTTCTCATTTCACTAGTCTGTGCATTTGTTTTTGAAACCGACTTGTATGTGTACTATTTTACTGTATGACCTGTAAGCCTACATACCCTCAGGCTGAATACTTTTGCAAGCCTTAAGTTTTTGTTCTTATTAATAATGAAATCCTGTATATTTTGTTTCATGTCACATTTGTTCACAAGATCCACAGTCGGAATATTACATGTTAAATGTTTCTGGCAGACTACGCGGTCTGTAAACGAAAGACACGTATTGGGAGCAACATACAGTAGCTGTGCGGATTTTTTTTTCACAGTTTTCATGTTTTGTTCTTTTTTTAATCCAGCACGCTAGTCCAGACTACAGTGATGTGCGGCCATTTTTTGAAACTTCCATGTTTCTGGCAGGACACAACACGCAGAGAACCTCATGGAGTATGAATACTTATGAAAACCACTGTATAAAAAGCCTTACTCTGGGCGTGCAGCTCGTCGATGTGGATCTGGTCTCGTCTCCACTCACAGTCGGCGTCTGGAGTGAGGTCGGCCAGCTCCAGTTGGATCCGTTTCCCAGGATGCACTTGGATGGTCCAGTTGCACCAGAGCGGAGGGTTAGAGCAGAGATAATCCGGAGAGAAGAAGGTTCCAGTGTCTCCTCCCAGAACCTGGTGGCAGCTCCTCAGGGCGAAGAAAGCCTTTCTGCCGGAGCCCTGGTCTGATGGAGACAGACAGAGAGAGAGAGAGCAGCAGGTACTGGTGTGAGTCTAGACAATCATCTTTGCTATAAAAACTTAAAGCTCTTTAATGACATGATGCATCTTTAACATGAGAACTCTTGGAGCAGTCTCACTCTGGGTCGGTCTCTCCCTCTGGGTCGGTCTCTCTCTCCCTCTGGGTCCCTCCCTCTCTCTCCCTCTGGGTCCCTCCCGCTCTCTCCCTCTGGGTCCCTCTCTCTCCCTCTGGGTCCCTCTCTCTCCCTCTGGGTCCCTCTCTCTCCCTCTGGGTCCCTCTCTCTCCCTCTGGGTCCCTCTCTCTCCCTCTGGGTCCCTCTCTCTCCCTCTGGGTCCCTCTCTCTCCCTCTGGGTCTCTCAGTCGCTCTTGAATTTAGCTATATTAAATTACAAGTTCTGAAATTGAATATAGCCAACTTCCAGCACACCTTCAGTGGAAGCAGCTAAATTGTACTTTTTCCACACATTCTATACTGTGTGTCTTCATGGTCTCAACCTTAAACTGTTCTAAACCCCCTTGGATCATTGCATAATTAGGCCTTGAAAAATCCTTGATAAAAAGCCTCATCATCATCACTGCCTCATACTTGACAAATACTACACCCTCGTAGGTACCATCTGATGGCTGCTAGACAGAGAGTATAGGACAGTGGCATTTGGTCTCGAGGTAAACCCACAGGTCTGACTCAAACCATGAGATGCATGAGAAACATATTTCCAGATAAGGCATTATACTTATAATACTACTTACTTTTACCCCTCAGCTTTATTAACCTGTTGGTGTTTAACTTAGCACACAAACACTAACAGAATGAGTGGAAATCCGCATGTGTGTGCTTGTAGTGCACGTTTAGCGGATTACCAAGAGAGAAATGAGGAGTTACATAAGTACATAAAATAGAGAATGGGGGATGGAGCAGGACCTCCACAGGTTTAGAGAGGAGTTTCAAGGCCTTTCTGAGGAGTAATGGGAAAGAGCTGAGAGAGGTCAAGGATATAGCTGCTCGTCAGAAGACTTATCTGACCAATCAGATCCAAGACCTGAAGCAGGAGGTCAAACAGACGGGTTCAGTCCAACAAAGCGCGTAGAGAGTTTTAGCAGGAGTTAAAACTTGCTCAAGACGCTTTAAACGTGAAAGATCAGAAGCTCTGACTGCCACCCTCCCGACCCAGAAATGGATTAAGGGGTAGAAAATGGGCGGCAGTAGCTCAGTTGGTAGAGCTTTGGCCTTTGAGCCAGAAGGTCTTGGGTTCAAGCCCCGCTTAAGACTTTCACCATCGACTCCCACTGTCTGCTGTCGTTGTGTCCTTGGCAAGACACTTAACCTCTGGGAACACCAGCCACAGTGGGGCGGCTGCGGCTGTAAAGTGCCAAACTGCCGTTGTGTCCTTAGGCAAGACACTTCACCCCCATTGCCTAGAATGAGTCTGGTGTGTGGGAATGGTTGGTGGTGGTCGGAGGGGCCGATGGCGCATACTGGTTGCCTCGCTTCTGTCAGTGTGCCCCAGGGCAGCTGTGGCTGCAGTAGTAGTTTATCACCACCGTGTTTGGAGTGAATGAATAATGACACATGTGAAGCGTCTTTGAGTGTCCAGAAAAGCGCTATATAAAACCGATGCATTATTATTATAGAAAATGGATGGATTGATCAGGAGCTCATCGCTCTGAGAGAAGCGATGGCTCACGTTTCCACGAACAGTACTGAGCTGCTCCAGCTGCAGATGAGGGCCGCCAGAGACAAAAACTTGATCCAAACTCTGACAGAAGAGGCCAGAGCGACAAGAGCCGAGCGGGAGGGTCTTCAAGAGCTGCTTAAACGAGCTCAAGAAGAACTGAAGGTTAGAGAGGAACAGGCCATGGATCTGGTCAGGGATCAGAGGCAGTTGCGACCAACACAAGGCATTCATTGGGTTTGGCGCGGGAGTGATTGCAGCAGTGGATGGAAGCCGACCGACAGCTGCAGTTCCAGTTATCAGACAGATTCTCAGCTCCAGACTCTGATGGAGGTTAACAAGTCCATGACCCTCGACACTCGCATTAAACAGGATATCCACCAGTTTAAAAGGAAACCTCATAATCAGACTGGGCCATAGATACCACTAGATCAGGAAATACTGTTAGAGACAGAGGGGGACCGTGATAGCAAAAGAAGTGCTAGTTAGTGATAGAAGTGCGGTTGAACATCAGCCAGATTGCGTACACGGTCGACAAGACCAGGCCATTCAAGAGGAGACACAGCGAGCTGAAGCATTACGAGAGAACTCAATGCAAGGACAATGCTGCAAACTCAAGGTGGAATAGGTTGTAAGTTCATCACCACTGGCAGCGATACGATATAGCAGCAAGAGATATTTCCTTTTTAGGCATTTTCCTTTAAAAATCGACACCGGTTATAGAAATAACTTGATAAGGAGTTGCCACAACTGTACGCCACAGAAAAAGAGCATTTTGACTTAGAACCAGTGAATATAGACATTTACATTACACTTTTTGGACCAGTCTAGTTTAGCCGCTGTGGACTTCAGAAGGCACTCGTTAAAATGAATGGGGCTCATGCCAGTTAAAATTTTTTCAACATTTTCCTGCCCCGCGGCCGTTTTGAAAAAGCCCACCGAAGGCAAAAGTGGTGGTTAATTATAGTTTCAACGGCGGACACAAGCGTGACTACCGTTAATATTTATAATAAATGGTTTTCACGTCGAACTATTGCCTGCACTGGTTGTAGTTCGTTTTAGTCATGTCAGCGCACATCAATTTGGCCACTTTAGAGCCGGGACCCGCCCCCTCTGGTGTAAAGCTCATGCATTGCGTCGACTTTCAATGCAAAGTCAATGGTGACGCCAAGCCCCAGTAATCCAAGATGGCGCCCTATTCAAATGAGTGGCTTGTGCTCAGTAGCTTCACAGAGACCGGGAGATTAGCAGAACTCGTCTATATTTGGGCATCGTCTGGTCCTCCCGGTTCAGCGCAGTGGATAATCTCCCATGATGCTTTGCGCCAAATACGCGTGTGTGGGTCTCATGCACAGAGGGGCTCGGCCGCGCTTTCACCAATCAAAGCTGCTGATTATAGCAGTGGTAGAGCGGAGTCAGAGCGGGATGGAATGGAGCAGAGTTTGTGGCAGTAAAGTGTGGATTTAAGAAGAAAAAAAGTTCAGGATGACAAGGGACACTAAAACCACAACATCCGATATTTCTGAAAGCTGTAGGTTCTCTGTCAGCTGAGGTCGAGCTGTTTTAGTTTACATTCAGTTCTATTGGACTTTTTTCTGGGTAGCCCACGTGAATTTAGTCATATAAAGTCTCTAAATGAAAATAAATGAAAAATAAATTAATCTGGAAGGTCTCTGAACACAGAGACACTGCAGAGCTGCATTATTGGAGAAGATCTTTACACAAGAAGCTGCTAGCTTAACTCAGCTAGCATCAAAGCCCGTCGGCTACTTCCACCACTTCCGGCGGGCGCCACCGCTGGCCAGGACTTCTGGTGTGAAGACCCCTGCGTCTGAAAATTATGTGCGTCTTCTGCGTGAGGCTTGCGAGCTCCAGCGTGTGCGGTGTGAAAGCAGCTTTAGTGTTTGTAATAGATTGGTTTTTGTCCAAACTATTGTCTATTCATCTATTATCAGCTGGAGTCGGTGCCTCAATGGCAACCCGGAGAAATTTAACATATTGCTCCTTTAAAGTAGGCTATAGAAGACCAAAACTGTCAACATAATAAATTAACCAATGAATAAATGTCACAATCTGCCAATAATTATCGAAATAACACTGTAAATCTATTATTATATAATGTTTTTTATTTGGGCAAATCTCATAATTTGTCTTAATATTTGCAGATTGTGACATTTATTTATTATTTTGACACTTTGTCCTGCATAAAGAATTTCTCAATATTCCCACAGGTCTGAATGGGAGCAGTCAAAATGATGGCTCCGAGTTCTCATAGTTTCAGAATTCCTGGGAGTCCAAGTGTTAACAAGTTTGAATTGTTTCTGACCTGAAGGGCTGGGGTTGTCTTCACTGATCACCTGCAGAAACAAGATGTGTGTAAAAACAGAGAAGGCTTTTGAGAATAAGCATTACTATTTTTATTTATGCATGTTAAAGCTGGGGTACCTAATTTTCAAACAATACGAAAATATGATCCTAGCTTACTTGGACAATTATTAGTTATGGAAAGACCAAAGCAAAACAGACCAGAAAGAAACCAGCGAGAAAGACTGAAGAGATAAGAGACCAACGAGAGACTAGACTTGAGAAACTAGTGAGAGAGACCAGAATGAGACCCGCAAGAGAGAGACCAGCGACCATTGAGAGACTAGACTTGAGAAACTAACAAGAGAGACCAGAGAGAGACTATAGCAAGAGAAACCAGCGAGAGAGACCAGAATGAGACCAACAAGAAAGACCAGAAAGAGAGACTAGAAAGAGACCAGAGAGAGACAAGACACACACAAAAAGAGAGGGCTAAAGTGTCAAATAGTGACTTCCACAAATATGCTAAAATGACAAATATATTCAGTTATGGATCAATCAAAATTACAAAAGATTTTATTTATTTTTTGGATACATTTTACCAAAACAAAAGAGAATGACACATCTTGAGAGCTGGAATTATTAGCCTATTTTTTAACATCCCTTTTTTTTTAATTGTAGAATTTACATAAGCATCTAAGCAGCCAAACGGAACAGTCTTCCTGAAAACGGGCAACAGGCTTCGTTCTACAAGCTGTTAACAAAAGCACTTAAATGATCTTGTACTTTGTTTTTTTATTGTACTGTTTTTATTGATTGGTTTCATAGTGACAATTGTTTCTTGTACTTTGTTAGCTTTTTTTAATTTATGTTTGTGTCTGGAGCACACTAGGATGCTCTTGCACGTGTATTCCAATGTGGTTAATTAACTGAAACCATATTGTCTATAATTGTTTCATCCAGACCTTACCTGAGCACGACAGAGATGCAGCACAAACATGACCGTGAGAACCACACCGTTGTTACTCCTCTTCTTCCTCTTCCTCGGTGGCATTTTCACCAAAAACATTGGGTTTTACTGTAATATTTATTGTATTTTTTTTTTTGGCTAAAGGTCGAAAGCCAAACTTCAGTGGAACGTGTCTCTCTCTGAGCAGCTGGAGGTCGTTTCTGTTGATTGAGTCACTTTTACTTCAGCTGCAACGCCCTGCATGGCCACCAGAGGGAGCACGAGGAGCGCTCTAGATATACATTATATTAATGGCATTTACGCATTACTTTTAGGCTACTGGTAACGATTTTTTTTTTGTTGAGTATTTTTCTATGGTTACCTTTGATTAATCAAATAATCTACTGACTTCTATCACTTTTTAACTGCATTTGAATTAAATGTTTAAGAATATATAGTTACATTATGATTATTATTACTATTGGTCAAGGTCAAGGTCAAGTTTATTTATAAAGCACATTTAAAACAACAATGCTGCCCAAAGTTCTGTACACAAAAATACATGTATATAAAATACACAATTTGAATATAATAAAATTAAAATACAGATGCGGAAAAACAAAAATCAACACCAGCAAAGAAAAAAGTCCTGCTCAGTTTTAATTAAAGGACTTCGCAAACAAAACTATTATGTTTTTATCTCATTCATTGTTAAGTCAGTGCCTCTATAGGTAGAATTTTCTGACCAGATAGAGAGATCAGAGACAGACCAGCAAGAGACCAGAGATAGACTAACGTGAGACCAGGGAGAGAGAGAATAGCAAGAGACCAGAGAGAGAGACCAGCGTGATAACAGAGAGAGACCAGAGTAAGGCCAGAGAGATATACCACAGAGAGAGACCAGAGAGAGGTGCTCCGCTCTGGAAGAGGCACACAGTCATTCAGAAGAACCAGGATTTCCTCAGACAGAAACTGCTCAGACTTCTGTGAGACTTGAGTGCAGTGGTCTCCGTCCTGACGTCTGTGTGAGGCATTTGGACCAGAGCAGTGAACCCCCATCAATGTGAGAAACCTGTTATTATAATACACACATGGTACGCACACAGAAAGAAGAAGAGAGAAACCTCAAGAGCCCATTGTGGATCATTTTCCATCTGACTAATCCTAAAACCACAACAAAGACATATTAAAGAGGAGCTGATTCATTTCTTTAAAAAAAAATTAAATCCTCCATCCATACGGTGATTTAGAGCAGAACTAAAACTTGATCAAATCCTGAATTTTGACTAATTCCTCCAATAACGTTGCTCACAGGCAGACAGACCGACATCACTTTACCTCCTGGAAGAAGGTAAGAACAAACATCAGACAGTTATGGACATATATCAACATTTTTGGACATTGGTCATTCTCCTTATGGACCAATGGCTCTGTGTGTTTTTTATCATTGCATTTGCGGTATTGGAACGGTTTGATTCTCTGATCTGTTGTTGAGGAATCGACAAGTTTGTACAGTCCACCGTGACAACTGTAGTTTGATTTGTTTCAGTCAAAATAGCTGCGATAAACAAGATAAAATCATATTAAATACAACTGTGTATCACTATCCTCCCTATAGTTCCCAGTGTAACCTGCAAAAAGCACTATTCACATAAACATACTGAATTACTATTGTTTTTTTCTCTATTTTCTGTCAATTTAGTTAAAACAAATTCAGGGATTTAAACAAAGTTATGTTGGACTTTGAATGCTGATGTAGGCGACTGCTCTGTGTTCAAATATCTACAACTTTTACTGCAAAAACTACACACAAAACAGACTGAACAAAACATTGAAAGTAATTATTTTATTAAAACTATTTTTTTTATGAGTTTGAATATTTTACAACAGGAACAACATTACAGCATGAGAGACATCAGTGTGCAGAAACAATAATACATTTCTTCTTCTTCTTGCTTGAGGGGTGGGCAAAAAGGTATCAGTAGATTTTTAATTTAGGCAGAATTATGTCAATAGAAATATGTTTATGTAGTTCATTAAAGCTGGGATACTTAATTTTCAAACCACAACAAATGTATTAACAACGTGGAATCCATCTAAAAATCCAATTGTTCCATTTTTGGGCCGGCTTTTTCAGACAGAAAATAGAAAAACAGAGAAGCACCCTGAAGCAGCTGAAAAGAGTCAAAGTGTTTTAGTTTTACACGACTCTTGACGACAAAAACATGCGTTATTAATTAAATAAGTCGGATGCCCAAACTTTAATATATCTTTGTTGTCAGATAAAAAATTACCCACAAAAATTGAGTCAAACATCTAAAATTAGCCAAAAAAATATCATCAAATAATCTGCTGTTATTGCATATTATTCTTATTTTAAAATTTCACAATGTTCTGCCCACCTCTCTGCTTGCAGAAGTTTCTGGAAATAATTTAGTTAAACACTTCAGCACTAAAAGAAATTTGTAAAGTGCAACGTCTAAAGCCCTGTACCAGATTTATTTTTCTATATATTTTGGGGAATTTTTTTTTTTTTTTCAAACACAAACTTTGGCGTTGCTTCCAAACGGATCTGACCGCTCTGGTTTCAGTCTACTCTACATGCTACAGCCGGGTGATGCTTTCAAATGCATCTAGTGCTCAAACTTTGCAATTGTAAATAAAATTGCCACCATGAATACAGTATTAGCACGGTTTTCAGAGAGGTTCTCAGAGACACAGGAAGTGGATGTTAAATGTGGTCTAAAACGATTCTCGCTTCCTGAAAATTTGACCGCTTTTTTTAGCGCCATTTTTAGTTTTAGAAGAGAAATGAAAGATTTTTGACAAATGGAATTCTCAAAGCAAACAAAAACTAAAAAATAGTATGAACAAAAAAATGTAGGTTTCTACTCGAATTCATTTATGGATGAATTCATGGTTAAAATCATGAAATAATAATTGATAAATGTGACCAAAACAAAGCATGTGATGCATCTTAAGAGCTGGAATTATCTTGTTTTGTACTTAACCTTGTGTATGAACTGTGCTATACAGATAAACTTGCCTTGCCAAATAGACAACTATAACACGGCTATAACAATACGTGAAAAGTCAATTCTGTATGTACACTGCAAAAAATGATGAAAAAAAAGTCAGAAATTGTTTAAAAAATTAGCAAAATATATCTTCATTTGAGCACATTTCTTAAAACAAGATTTGCCAACGGGACAAATTATCTTGTTTTAAAAATATAAGAAGAATAAAATATGAGAAATGTCTCCTTTGGAACTGGACTAAACGGCTGTGTCCAATTGGAGAATCTAGTTTTAACACAGTCAGAATGTACTCAAATTAAGATAAAAACCACTCAATTCAAGAATTTTTACCTCATAATTTTTTTGCAGTGTGTGTAAAATCAGGTGCAGGGCCTCCTCCCATCATGTACACAACCAAATACACAATAAATAAATAACATTCAAAAACTTTCAATCAGGAGCAGTGCAATTCCGGCTGAACAATCCATCTCCAGATGTGCTTGACCTCCTGCGGCGTTCGACCGTGCACCACCATGAGAGTCCTGTAGATACACGGGTTGTCTTTGTATTTTTCTGGAATATCAAACGTCCGGAACGCTGAATGCATCTGCGGCTCCAGGCCCAGCTTTTGCAAACACATCCCGGTGTAAACGTCGTCGATGGGATAGACCACCACCCTCTTGGAAGCCTCGTTCAGCTTCAAAGCCACTTGTCCCGAGTATAAGAACCCTCCTCCTCCAGCGTACGGCGGGTAGGGCCCCACAAAGTAGCTCTCGGGGACAAAGTACTTGAGTTTCTTGTTGCGGTGGGGTCCGGCGTTGGTGATGACGTCGCCGATGAAGAAGTCCGAGACCTTTCGCTCCGGGAGGTTTTCCAGGAGGTCCAGGATCAGAGGAGTGTTGACGAAAACATCATCGTCGCCTTTGAGCACGAACTGAGCCTCAGGACAGAAGGACTCGAACCAATCCAGGAACAGGACTTCTTTGAGGGTCAGGTTCAAGAAGCTGTCTCTGGAATCACACAAAAAGTCACAAACCAATTTTGAGAAAGAATAATCCGTTAATAGTTCTTTTCTCAAACAATCTACTGCAGGTGTCTCCTTTAAGAGGCTCTGGGACAAAATGTGGTGATATATTGGTGTGAAATAGTCTGACATTAGGTACAGTCACTTTTTATCACCGTATATTTGTTCCTACTCCATTTACAAAAATAAATAATGACCCCCTTCCAGCTACCTGGAAGGGGGTTGAGAGCTACTGGTGGCTCTTGAGCTACATGTTGGAGGCCCCTGATCTGCTGTATATTGGTCAAAGCTCCACTTATTCAGGCCGGACTTTGTGTTGTTAGACATTTTTGTGAAGTTTCTAAGAACACAGCAATAGTTTGGCAATTTACAGACGCCCCACAGTGGCACCTGATGTTCCCAGAGATCCCCCATCACAGTACTAACCAGGCCCTGCCCTTCTTAGCCTCAGAAGCCTGACGAGACTTGACTCTGCATGCAAGTTTGGCCACTACTCTATGGTAAAACCAAACAATACTATTGTGTTTTAGACGCACAGAGTTGCGCTCAGTTACACAACAAACGACAGAGTCAAACAGTTGTGTTTATCTCGAGAATCTTAAGTGACGGTTGGTTTTAAATGTGGTTTTTCAACTCTGTGGAATGAAACGCAGCGGATGCTTCACACGAGAACAAGAAGAGTAGTTACTCAGTGTTCTGTATATTTCTATGTCATTATTATTATGAAATCATCTTTTGTTTTTATAATGTGAGGACGGCTCCAGACATTTGAATGTAAATCATATGTATATCATATTGACCTGAAGGGATAGTTACCATAGCAACACACTGTTTACTTGAAGCAGTTGGCATTTAGTATTTTTATATTATTTATATTTTTATTGAGTTTTATATGAACATATAAGTTTGAGCACTTATTAATGTTTTAGCACTTATTTAATTAAAGCCTTACTTTTAATGAAAAAACTGGTGGACAACCTTTCAGAGAATTTGTTGAGATTTCCATTGGTTTCTTGACGTTTCAGAATTCTGGGAGTCCTTGTGTTAAAGCATTATCTGCATCTTCACATAGAGTTAAAATCATGCTCTGACATGTTCTGAGTTGAAATATGTGTGTTTTGTTTTCATTCCAAACTGTGGAAAATGTGGATTATGGATTCTGGAAAACGCAGAGATTAGCACAGTATATTTGTTCGGTTAATGGTTGAGTCGACCTAAAAACATGATTAGTTAACCCACCAAAACTATGTAAATGTAATCCATAACAACTTAGTCATAACAAAGACATTCAACTCTACAAATCTAACGTTTTTCCCCATATATAACAAATGTAGGTGTATCTACAAACCTGTAATCCCACTGCAAGATATCTCCATGCATCTCTGTTTCATATGTCAACAGTTCCTTCAGGTTCGGGTGGTTATCTGCTCGCATGGCTCTCCCCAACAGAAACACCGTCACCACAGTCTTATTGCCGATGACTCCAGCTTTCCCCCAAGATTCCCTTATGGCCTGCCTCCTTTCAAAGTGCGGCAACAAGGTCTTGACCACCAGCAGAAGAAACGGCGCATCTTCACAGATTCTGGGCTGGTTGCTTAACATGGGGTAGGACCGACACCGGGAGTAAAGTAGAAAGTCTTGGAACAGTTTTGGGAGTAAATTGTAGTCCGAAATTTGCCGTTGGACCCTCGTATCTGGCTCACACGAATTGGAGAACGGCACGGTGTCATTTGCCCAATCAGAAAGCTCCGTCGGAGTCGTGTTAAAGTTAGGATTGTGGATGAAATCGAACCGCTGTTGCTCCCGGTTCCAAAAGGAGTCGCTCAGAGGGATTTTCCGCCAAAATGGGGTTTTTGGGATGCAGATTTTTGGACGGGCTTCCTTCAAAGTCCAAGAGAGTCCAATAAAAACGCATCCGACGACGTTGAAAGCCAAAAAGGCGCAGATCATGTGGATTTTCCTGGACGATGGGCTCATCTCTGCTCCTCTCTGGATCTACAGCGTGGGGCGAGAAAGTAAAGTGGGTTGAGATAGAGAATAGTAGCATAGAAAGACAAGGTCAACTTACAGCAAAGCCAGGGTATAGGCCCACGCAAGGAAACATCGGACTGACTTAAACCAATTCTATTACTAAAACTACTGCGACACCACACATGTACAGCGGCATTTCTTGCTCTGCGTTCAGGTTTGCAAACAGGCTCCCAGGGAATCACGGTTTTCCAATTAACAGTCACATGTCCAGAGGCTGCAGACTATAGAAGGAAGACCCAAGCTACCCCTATAAAAGTAATTGAATTATTGAAATATATGGGTTTCCTTTGTCAGAGGATGGGAGAAGAGACTGCTGCTGTGAATATTCTGGCCTATAATTGTCATATAGTGCTTTGCCTTTAAGCAATGAGAGGTTCATATGGATCTGGGTTTTGGTTTCAGCCTGACAAAGTGAACAATGCTTTATGATGCTAATCTGTGGGAGAGACAGAGCTGAGGAGAGGGTTTTGTTTTGTCAATTTTTGCTTAAAATTCCAGAGAAGCTAAAATCAGTCTGAATTGGACCCTAATCTAAAAGTTTAAATGGCAAATGTTGTTTCTTGTTTTTATTTTTTAGTGTTTTAGGGCCTTGTATGCAGCTCCTGGAAGGTCCCTTAAAACCTTTGTGTATGAACTTCTATAAATATGTTTGTAAATGAAGAGAATTAATCTATTGGTTGATTGGTTACAGTGTATATGGACAAAAAGTATATAAGTTCAGCTTTTTCACAAATATGACGGGACAGAGAAGCAGAACTTATAACACGGCCAAATATATAAACAGTTCTGGCTTAGTACATCCAGAAATGTTTGCAATTAATTTCTTTCTCTCACAGTAGAACTCCCAGAGCAGTCAAATTGACGGCTTTTAGTTTCAGAATTGCAATTACTCAGTGTGTGTAAGGTAAAAAAGTGAGAAACTCCAAGGTTTCTCACTTTTTCCCACTGGGTTTTTTAAGAGTTTTTCCTTGTCGATGGAGGAGGGTCTTGTTGGACAGTTAGTGTCCAACAGAAAGGATTGGTGATGATCAGGACACTTTAGCATTCTACAACATGTATGGACATTTTCTTCTGTGTGTGCTTTATATTCTTCATGTGTTTTAACTGTTGATTCTCTGACCTGTGTTGGTGATTTCAATGGTTTTGTTAAGTCCTCTGAGATGACTTCTGTTGTGACCTAGGGCTATACAAGAATAAATTGTATTGTATTGTATTGTAATGTATTGTGTACCTTTTTGGGTCTTCGTAACTTTGGGACTTTTTCTGTATCCCTCTAGTGGTTCATAGTAGTTTATTCTTTTAATACACTTATTTTTGAAACGTGAGTAGTTTATCTTTAATTCATTTATCTTCATTTTTTTCAGGTTCATACAGGATTCAGTTGTTTGACATAAATACATATACATTTTCCTTTTAACCCCTATAGATAGATTTCAATAACATGTGCTGTGTTACTATAGCAACTTACCGATTTAGCCTTTAGCAATAAGCTAAAGGCTAAATACTAAATTTGGTCTTTAGCATTCAGCCTTTCAATGAACTGTTTTATCACTTAGTAAGTAGAGTGAGTAGAGGTAAAAAATAAAAAATTAAAAATCATAATGTACTAATAGTTTATCCTTGTTTAGTTCCTGGTAAATCCCCTTTTATCCCAGATTTCTATTATTAACATTGAGTGCCTGCCGTTTCTGATCATTTCACTGATTCTCAAGACCCACAGAATAATGTGTTCTATGACTATGTGAAATATGAAACCAGATTCTGAAAGATTGGAATGTCTACTTTCATCAGAAAATAAGGTTTGTTTCTAGCTAGTTTTGTTTGACAGAAATCACCAGTCACCAATCCCAAATACTGTACTGTACGTGGCAAATACCCAAATAATGGCAGTCAATGAGTTAATATTCATCCCTATGTCTTTAGATGATTAATACATTATGATCAAACATATAAAAATCTCCCTCTTGTCCAACACCGGATGCTTTCTGGGTCCGCAGAACACAGTCCAGTGCGGGTCTCTCGGGGCTCGTCCTGTTTCTCTATGTCCATATTTCACTGGTGACTTCAGCTCGGTCTGAACAGGTGTTTCGTTGCTGAATCAACACAAGCTTAATATTGTCTCAGAAACTGCATCAGCGTTTATAGTTTTCCATTTGTCTTATCAACGTTGGTGCTGGAAGTGTGTGGGGAGCAGGTGACGGCAGAATGAGTCCGATAAGACGAGTTTTAAATTCTAATTCCTTTGGCGAGCTACTGGTGGCTCCCGAGCTACAGGTTGGAGACCCCTGCTCTAACGTGTCCTGGGCCGTGTCCTGGGCCGTGTCCTGGGCCGTGTCCTGGGCCGTGTCCTGGGCCGTGTCCTGGGCCGTGTCCTGGGCCGTGTCCTGGGCCGTGTCCTGGGCCGTGTCCTGGGCCGTGTCCTGGGCCGTGTCCTGGGCCGTGTCCTGGGCCGTTCCCTGGTCTCCCCCTGGTCTTTCCCTGGTCTCCTCCCAGTGCGACGGGCCCAGAACACCTCCCGATATTTGTGATCATTTTAACTCATTCAAAATCGATGTCTATCTTGGTGCGTGGAGCTACTCTTTGCAATGATTTAGCAGAAGAATCCAAAACTAAGCACTGAATAAAATAATGTGGATGCAAGAGAGTGAGAGAGATAGAGCGGGAAGCAGGAGAGAGGTGTAGGGTCGGAGAGTGTTTGGTTCGGTGTGTTGAAACATAGGATGATATATATTATTGATTGACTGCGGAACCTTCCGCAGTCAACCATTGGTTTTGTATTTCTTTATTCCGTCATTTTTTTTGACACGTTTCACAGCTTTCACATTTTCAACAATTTCCACAAGTTATACATCAAAACGTTCCACATGTTTGGGAGATTATTGCTATTACTTTTGGGACTTCAGCGATTTCCGGTTTTTCCGCAATCGGACAAAAATCTGCATTGAGAATTCTGCAATGCATTTTAATAGGCCCATGCATTTTAATAGGACTTCAGCTCTTTCAGACATTTCTACAGTTTCAATGATTCAACAGTTTCAAGGATTCAACAGTTTCAAGGATTTCAGCAGTTTCAAGATTTCAAGAGTTTCAAGGACTTCAACAGTTTCAAGGACTTCAGCAGTTTCAAGGACTTCAGCAGTTTCAAGGAAGGACTTCAGTGTAATCATGCAACCTAATAGGGATTTTTCCATGTAAACCAGTATAATGCAACTTAATAGGGATTTTTCCATGTAAACCAGTATAATGCAACTTAATAGGGTTTTTTCATGTAAACCAGTATAATGCAACTTAATAGGGTTTTTTCATGTAAACCAGTATAATGCAACTTAATAGGGTTTTTTTTTTCATGTAAACCAGTATAATGCAACTTAATGGGGATTTTTCCATGTAAACCAGTATAATGCAACTTAATAGGGGTTTTTACATGTAAACCAGTATAATGCAACTTAATAGGGATTTTTCCATGTAAACCAGTATAATGCAACTTAATAGGGATTTTTCCATGTAAACCAGTATAATGCAACTTAATAGGGATTTTTCCATGTAAACCAGTATAATGCAACTTAATAGGGATTTTTCCATGTAAACCAGTATAATGCAACTTAATAGGGATTTTTCCATGTAAACCAGTATAATGCAACTTAATAGGGGTTTTTACATGTAAACCAGTATAATGCAACTTAATAGGGTTTTTTACATGTAAACCAGTATAATGCAACTTAATAGGGTTTTTTTTTCATGTAAACCAGTATAATGCAACTTAATGGGGATTTTTCCATGTAAACCAGTATAATGCAACTTAATAGGGTTTTTTTCATGTAAACCAGTATAATGCAACTTAATGGGGATTTTTCCATGTAAACCAGTATTATGCAACTTAATAGGGATTTTTCCATGTAAACCAGTATAATGCAACTTAATAGGGTTTTTTTCATGTAAACCAGTATAATGCAACTTAATAGGGTTTTTTTCATGTAAACCAGTATAATGCAACTTAATGGGGATTTTTCCATGTAAACCAGTATAATGCAACTTAATAGGGTTTTTTTTTTACATATAAACCAGTATAATGGAACTTAATAGGGGTTTCAAGGATTTCAGGAGTTTCAATGTTTCAACAGTTTCAAGGATTTCAGGAGTTTAAAGGTTTCAACAATTTCAAGGACTTCAGGAGTTTCAAATATCTATCAAGTATTTTAACAGTTTCAAGGCCTTTTAAAGGATTTCAAGGATTTTTTTTAGCAGATTTCCACATTAGATCTGTTCCGCAGTCAATCGCAATGGCTTCAGCCATTGCAAGTTTCTAGTTTACAACTGATCATTCCTGATTTTCATTAACAATGGAAACAAGACATTCGAACATCTCGCTCTAACTGGTTTAACAGCTCGATAATATTTCATAACGGTCTTTTACCCATTACAAATATAACACCTACTACTACTTTTACTAGTGTTTTTATTACTACTACTTCGACCCACTACTTGTGTACCATTCAAATGTTTATAGCAATGACACATTTCCGCCATCTGCTCAATCTTATCTCATGTGAACTAAAACACCATCATTACTCACGGCGTCATAAAGAATACTGCGTTCTCTGCGGCTGAGTTCACTACAGGGCAGACTAGAGTATGGACAAGTCTGTGCAGGTGTGTGTGTGTGTGTGTGTGTGTGTGTGTGTGTGTGCGTATGTGTCAGTTGGTGGGTGCAGGTGTGCAGGCCTAACCGGAAAGTCACCATGTGGAAATGTATTTGCGAGAGATTGACAGAAGTGTGTTGGGAGAGGTGGTGGGCAGGTGTGTGCGCGTGTGTGCGTGTGCGTGTGCGTGTGTGTGTGTGTGCTGAAGCAGTGATTTGCATTCTTTATAAACAAAGCGAAAAGGAAACTTAACAAGGATATGACATGTTTTTATAGCCACAGTCCTGGGTCTACAGCCTCTAGTCCTGGATCTACAGCCTCTAG